GCCGTCGCCGAGACGAAGAAGACGAAGGACAAGGACGCGGCCTGCGCCGTCGCCGTCTGCTGCGGCCTCCACGCGCGCCACGCGACCTTCGGCCCCGCCGTCGTCGCCGCGCTGGAGAAGGTCGCCGTCGGCGACGACGGCTTCGGCGGCGCGCTCGCGGCGCCGGCCGGCGGCGACGACGCCGAGGCCAAGGAGCTCGCGAAGCACCGCAAGGGCGCGCTGAAGCTCCTCGTCGAGCTCTTCCTCGCGGGGTTCTACGACGACGAGGCCCTGCTGTTGAAGCTCGCGCGGTCCTGCTGCGGCGTCGGCCCGCGGGGCAAGCGGCGCTGCCCCGTCGACGCCGCGCTGCTCGGCGTCTTCCTCAAGGCCGGCGGCGAGGATCTGCTCGGCATCGTGCCGCGGCGCGCCAGAGAGCTCTACGGCCGCGCGGGCCTCGCCGCGGGCCCCGCGCGCGGCGACGCCGTCGTCGGCGCGGAGACGACGAAGACGCTCCGCGACCTCGCCAACGCCGCGCACGCGCTCCTCGCCGCGCAGCTGTCGACGGACCACGCCGCGCTCGCGAAGCTCGAGGCCAAAAGCACGAAGGACGCTTTGACGCACGGCGCTTTAACGGAGGAAAAAGAAAAGGCGCTCGACGACGCGCGCAAGGCCCGGGAGAAGTTATTGGCCCACGTCGTCGCGCTCGGCGACTGCCTGGATCTCGACGCGCCGGCGCTGCCGGACTTCGAGGAGTCGGACGACGAGGAGGCGCTCGCGTCGCTGAGCCTGTGGGGCGGCGAGAAGCTGAACCTGTCCGCGGGGCCCTTCGACGACGAGACGCAGCGGAGCTTCTACGAGGACTACCCCAACGTCCTGGACATCCTCCCGGCGCCGCTGTTGGGCTATTCGGAGGCGGACGTCGCGCGGCTCCAGCAGGAGCGGCTCGACGCGCGCGCGCTCTGGAAGGGCGCGTCGCTGGCGGCCATCGAGGACGGCGCGGCGGCGCCCGCGGCGGAGGAGGAGAAACCGGACGACGAGCCGGGGGACGAGCCGGCCGACGGCGACGCGCCCCTGGCGGACGAGCCCGAGGAGAAGCACGCGGGCGACGTCGTCGGCCGCTTATTGTCCGAGGATCTGCCGGCGTGCTACAACCGCGAGCGCGCGGACGCGCTCGCGCGCGCGTTCTGCGAGGGCCACGGCACGAAGAACGCGCGGCGGCGCCTGGCGCGCGCGCTCTTCGCGGTGCCGCGGACGGCGTCGGAGCTCGTGCCCCAGTACGCGCGCGTCGCCGCCGTGGTCTGCGGCGCCTACAAGGACGTCGGGACGCTCCTCGTGTCCGAGCTCCTCCGCGAGTTCCGCTGGCTGCAGCGCAAGAAGTCGCAGCACAATTTGGAGACGAAAATCCGGAACGCGCGCCTCGTCGGCGAACTGGTCAAGTTCCGCGTCGCGCCGCCCCACGCGGCCTTTGCGTGCCTCCGGGCCTGCCTCGAGGACTTCTCGCACCACGCCGTCGACGTCGCGTGCTGCCTCCTCGAGGTCGCGGGCGGCTTCCTGCTGCGGTCGCCGCCGACGTCGCAAAGAGCCGCGCAGTGCCTCGACGCCGTCATGAAGCTGAAGCGCGCGAAGCCGCTCAACGCGCGCGACGCGGCCCTCGTCGACAACGCGTACTACGCCTGCTGCCCGCCGGAGCGCGCGGCGAAAGCCCCCAAGCCGCGGTCCGAGCTCTACGGCTACGTGCGCTGGCTCTTCTTCGACCGCCTCGCGGGCACCGCGGGGAAGCGCGGCGAGAGCCGCCAGGCGCGCGTCGACGTCGTCATCCGCGAGCTGCGGCGGCTGCCCTGGGGCGAGAAGGAGACGGGCCCGCTCGTCGCGAAGCACGCGCTGAAGATGGTCCGGTCCAAGGCCGACGCGGTGCCCCTGGCGGCGGACTGCCTCGCGGGCCTCCACCAGCACCGGCCCCACGCGACGACGCTGGTCCTCGACGCGGTCTGCGCGGCCTTCGACGCGGGCGTCGACGCGCCGCCGCGGTCGCGGCCGCGGCGGACGGCGCAAAGACTCGTGGCCTACGCGCGGTTCTTCGGCGAGTGCTACAACTTCGCCCTCGTGTCCGGCTCCGCCGTCTTCGCGGCGCTCCACCGGCTCCTCCCTGTGCCGAAACCAAATCTTCAACCCGACTTCAATGTGAGCGTATTCGAACGATTTGGACCAGACTCTTTCACTGTGCTTCGAGAACTCGACGAGAGCGATCGATCCGTCCAAAAATCAGCCGAATCGACTTTGATTTGACCGAGCTAGAGAATTCTCAAGTTTGGTGGGGACCCCCCAAACCAGTGGTTGGTTTCGGCACAGGCTCCTCCGGCGCGGCCACGACGTCGAGGACCCCTTCCGCGCGGCCATGGCCGCGCGGGCGGCCATGGCGTTTTACGCTGCCCGCGCGCGCGCGGAGGACGCCGCGGCCGAGGCCGCCATGGCCGAGGGCGACGAAGACGACGACGACGACGACGACGACGCGGCGGACGCGGACCCGGAGCGGGCGGGCCGCGACGCCGCGCGGAAGTGGGCCGTGCACGAGCACGCGAAGCACGACCCGCGCGTGCCCTGCGACGGCGACGGCCCCGGGGACTTTCTGCGCGTGCACCTGGCCTGCGCGATCTTGGATGCGGTCGCGCCCTGCCTCGTCGCCGTGGCGTCGGGCCACGCGCAGCTCGAGGCGTTCTTGGACGACCTCCAGCGCTACTTTTACGCCAAGCCCGCGGCGCCCTTGGGCGCGCGCTACGCGCTCCTCGACGCCTTCGACGCCGTCGACGCGCACGCCAAGGCCCTCGCGACGGCCCACGCGGCGGCGTGCCGCAAGGCGAAGCGCGAGAACAAGCCGCCGCCGCCGCGCGTCGCGCGGCGCGCGTTCAAGCTGCGGGCGGACTGGGCCGCGGCCGACGACGCGGTCGTCGCGCGCGAGACGGCCTTCGCCGCCCACGTGGCCAACAAGAAGCGGCGCGACGGCCTCCGGGCGGCGCCGAGCGAGGCCGCCGAGGCCGCGGCCGCCGAGGAGGAGGACGCGACGGAGGGCGAGCGCCGCGCCGAGGCCGCGGACGACGGCGACCGCGGCGGCGACGGCGGCGAGGCCGAGGCCGCGGCCGCGGACGACAGCGGCGACGACGACGACGAGGCCGACGACGATGATGATGATGAGGAGGAGGAGGAGGACGACGACGACGAGGAGGAGGAGGAGGACGACGACGCGGCGGACGACCCGGACTTCGAGCGCCGCGACGAGAAGTCGCCGGAGGACCTCGACTTCGAGCGCGCGCTGTCGGCGACGATGGCCGACGCCATGGCCGCGGGGCGCCGCCAGCCCGCGGCGTCGGCCGCCGCCGCGGACAACATGGCCACGCCGTCCATGCTCCGCCGCTTCGAGTCGCCGCCGAAGATGCTCTCGCGCGGCGGCGGCGGCGGTCCGGGGCCCGTCGCGTTCAAGATGCTCAAGCGCGGCGCGCGCGGCAAGCTCGAGGCCCGCGACCTCCTCGTGCCCACGGAGACGAACTTCGCGAGCCAGGTGCTCAAGAACGCGGCCGCGCGCGAGCGCGAGGCCCGCGAGCTCAAGGCGAGCACGTACCACCTCGCGTCGCGCCAGGACGACGACTGAGCCTCGGGGCGCCGCGCCCCTCGATAATGCGCGTTTGCTGAGAGTTTACATGTTCATGTTTACACAGAATTCGCCCCTTAGTCGCTCGCGAGGCGGCGGCTCACGAGGCGCGCGGCGTCGACGGCGCGCTGCACGGCGGCCACGGCGTCGAAGGGCTGCGCGTCGAGCTGGCTCCGCGCGGCGCGGCGCGCCTCGGCGCCCAGCGCGGTCGCCTCGGCGCCCTCGCCGCGCGTCGCGCCGTCGGGCGTCTCGTAAGCGAGGCGCGCGGGCGCCGGCCCGTCGTCGCGGAGCGGCTCGACGGCGCGCGGCGCGGGCGCCGTCGGAGGGCCCGAGCCCCGGGGCTTCGCCGCCGCCGCCGCCGCCGCGAGCAGGCGCGTCGCCTTCCGCCGCTTCGCCGGCGGCGCGT